CCTCCCGCGCCGCATGCCGACATCGTTCGGACGCCCGTGCGCGAGCGTCTGGGGGGAGCCAACACGTGTGTCAAATTATACCATGCGGGCCAGTTTCGCGCGTCGGCCGCGCCCGCATGTCGAACTCCTTGCAAAGCCTTCACCACCGACGCGAAGACGCCGTCATCGCCGTCAGCGTGAACAGCATCGACGCCATCACTGGCCTTGCCGTTGTCGTTGTCACCACCGTCGCCAACATCGTTACTACTACCATCGTGTCTTCCGTTGTCGGCGTTGCCATGATACCGCGCCGCCCAAGTCGACAACCCGCACCGAAGTGCACGCAGGGAGCTGCCCGGCGGTCAGCGCAACCACGGCCCCGTGGGTCGCGCCAAATCAGCTGGCCGCTGCGCGCGCGAGCGTGGGCGGGATAGCGCGGCCACAAAAATGCACCAGCCAACGCCACGCACCCATCGCAATCGCCGCCGCATGGGCGTTGCTAGCCAAGTTGCGGGCGGGTGGGTAGAACGATTGCCCGAACAGTGGAATTGACAACTTCGAGTAAGGCAAAGCGAATTGCACTACATAGATTGTATTTCACAGGTTGCAAAAGATAGAGTGCACCGCGTAGGAGTGCACCACACAAATTGCACGACCGAGACAGCAATGCATATATTGAACAGCTAAGTTGCCCTACTTCGACTGCTCCATTTCTGGCACGACATAAAATGAATCGCATAAGTTGCACCACGTGGGTTGCACAACGTGTAACACCACATAGGGCGCACAACCTGTGTTGCGGCACATGGATTGCCGGGCAAAAATTGCACCACACGTATCACACAGCAGGGGTTGCAACACGTAGATTGCACCACTTCGGCTGCACTGTATAGCTTGCACAAACTAGGCTGAACCACGCCATGCTGGACCACATAAATTGAAGAACGCGGGATGTACAGCACTGACTGCACCACATCGGTTGCACAACATATATGAAATTGCGTAAGTAGTGCCACAGAGATGCACACGACAGATTGCACAACACAGATGACGCGACATGCATTCTCTTCTAAAGAGAGAACCCCCCCCGGGTTATCGATTCCCCTTTTCGTATTGCAATTTGCATGCAAATCTGCCCAATCGTCCATCCGAAACATGAACCATACCGTCCCAACCTGGCCGGCATCGACACCCCCACCATCATCTGCACAAAAGCTAACTGCGCGCACAATCGTAGAGCAAACTTTACAACTTTCCAACAACCCCTTGGGACAAATGGGACGAAGCGCGCACGCGCGGGTCGTCGTGTGCGCATGCGTGAATCCTTCAAACACCTTCGGATTCGCAGGGGTTCAAAATCGAGTGCCCAAACAACATATACAAGCACAAGGTTTCGCTTAACGACTTTGTGTGTGTGTATATATATATTAAAAACATATGCATAACACTTATAAATATATATATGTATAAGTATATGTATATGTATATATACATGCTCAAGATAATTATAATACAAAAAAAGAAAAAAAACAAACCCGAACTCTTGCGAATTCTTGCGAAAACCATAGGCGTCCCAAACAATCGTAACATGCTACCACGCGGGCTTCGCGGGCGGGCATGTCCAAATCGTTCAACGCCCGTGCGCGCGCGCTGGGGTGGCAGGGCCCGTCTCAAATAATACCATGCGGACCGCTTTCGCGCGTCTGCCGCGCGCGCATTTCGAACTCCTTCCAAAAGCCTTCATCACCGACGCGAAGACGCCATCTTCTTCGTCGTCATGATCAGCATCGGCGCCGTCACTGGCTGCCCCGTCGTCGCAATCAGCATCGTCACCAGCATCGCTACAATCAGCATCGAATATACCGTTGTCGGTGTTACCATGATACCGCGCCCCGCCCAAATCGACGACTCGCACAAATATGAACGCTGGGAACTGCCCAGCGGTCGGTGCCACCGCGTTCGAGTCGGTCGTGCCAAACTAGCTGGCCGCTGCGCGCGCGTGTTTTGGTTGGCGCGGCCGCAAAAATGCACCAGCCAACGCCAAGCATGCATCGCAATCGTCACCGCATGGGTTTTGCAAACCAAGTTGCGGGTTGGTGGGGGGGTTGTTAGCAAGAACGTGGGATGTGCCAACTCGCTTGTTAAAATTAAGTATCCCTTATAAAAACAGAATAGGCTCTACCCCCCCCCGGCGTTCGCAGCCCCTCTTTCGGGTATGTAAGTCATTTATGATTCTGACCACATGTCCATCCAAAATATGAATTTACACTATCCCCGGGGACTAACATCAGACTTTGCCACAAATCCATTGCAACAGAACAAAACGAAGTGCGCACGCGCGCGTCGTCGCGCGCGCATGCCAAAATCCTTCAAGAACCTTCGGTGCCGGAAGGATTCCGCAATCGAGTTCCCAAACAACATACAAAAACATAGGGTTTCGCAAAACACATTTGCTAAAAAAGCTTAAGGAAACCGCAGGCGATTCAAGATTTTCACAAACTGCTACCAAGCGGGCTTCGCGCGCGCATGTCGAAATCTGTCGAACGCCCTTGCGCGCGTGCCGTCGCGAGAGTCCTCCGCAAAAAACTGGACGAAGTGCAGACCCGCGCGTCGTCGCGCGCGTTTGCCGAAATGCGTCAAAACCCATCGGTTTCGGAAGGATTCCAAAATCGTGTCCAAAAAACCTACACAAACAAAAGGTTTCGCAACACTGATTTTCAACAAAATCGTGCGCGCGCGCTCTTGCGTCGTCGTCGTCGTCGTCGCCGTCCTCCCTCCTCCCGCGTCGTCGTCGTCGTCGCCGCCTACGTCGTCCTATGTCGTTCCTCGTGTTCGTCGTCGTCGTCCTCTTTGGCGTCGTGGTCGTTTCCGTCGTCGTTGTCGCCATGGTCGTGCTTCCTCCTCATCCCTTGTCGTCGTCGTCGTCCGTCCTAGGCGTCTCGTCGTCGTCCCTCCTATTACGTCGCCGTAGTCGTCGTCGTCGTCGTTGTCGTCGTCGTCGTCTTCCCTCCTCCCTCGTCGTTGTCGTCGTCGGCGTCGCCGTCCTTCCTCCTTCTTCGTCGTTCGCGTCGTCGCCGTCCTCCCTCCTCCCTCGTCGTTGTCGTCGTTGTCGTCGTTGTCGCCGTCGTCGTCCTCCCTCCTCCCTCGTCGTCGTCTTCGTTGGCGACGTCGTCGTCGTCGTCGTCTTCGTCGTCGTCGTCGGCGTCGGCGTCGTCGTCGTCGCCGTCGTCGACGTCGGCGCCGTCGTCGTCGCCGCCGTTGTCGTCGTCGTCGTCGTCGTCGTCGGCGTCGTTGACGTCGTCGTCGTCGTCGTCGTCGGTGTCGTCGTTGTCGTCGTCGTCGGCGTCGTCATCGTCGTCGTCGTTGTCATCGTCGTCGTCGTCGTCGGCGTCGGCGTCGTCGTCGTCGGTGTCGTCGTCGTTGTCGGCGTCGTCGAAGTCGTTGGAGACGTCGTCGGTGTCGTCGTAGTCGCTGTCGGCGGCGTCGTCGTCGTTGTCGCTGTCGTCGTCGGCGTCGCTGTCGTTGCCAAATGCCATTTGGTACCCACCGTCTCGGTCTTAAGAGATGTTGCAAACCAAGTTGCGGGTGGGTGGGTGGGATTTTTCGCGAGCAGTGGAGTGGTCAACTCGTTTGTTAAAATCAATTGCACCACATACATGGCACCACTCAGATTGCCCCAAATGGACCGCACACCATACATTACACCGCGTAGATTGCGCACATTGCTAGAAACCCACTGTTTGGGGTCTAGGCTGGATTGCGTATAGTTCTATGTCGCCAACTGTGGGAGCCTGTCGCTTGGGGCCATATCGGCTGGGACCCTGCCGTTTGAAGCCCTGCCCGGCCCCTTTGGCAACCCGTGACGCCAAGCACCGAACACCCCTCGGTGCAACCACTGTCTGTGAAATGGCATGTCGCAGTGTGTTATGTACGGCAAGTTCGTGGCGCTGGTAACCCTGGCGTTGGTTCCTGACACCGCGTGGACCGCTCAACCTTGAATGGTTGGCGGCTTCTCGGTGGCCAGATCGTTGCATATTGGCGGATTCTGGGCCACTGGCGGCGTTCAATCTTGAACGCCCGTGGTGGGGTCATTGCCGCGTCGGCACGAAACGAACCTACCGACAGATCCACTCAATGCAGGCACTGCTTCAGAACCTGCATGTCACAGCGTGTGTATGGATGCGCCTCGGCCTGGGTAGTCGAAGCCCATCTGGCGCCAATCTGGCAGGCCCAATCTGGCAAACGGGGGCAATCTGGCGAGGGAGCCAACGCGAATCCAGTCTGGCGAATAACCCAAATCATCCAGTTTGGCCGGGCCAGATTGGCCCTGGGGGCCCAATCCAATCTGACAGTCTGGCCTTCGACCACCCAGTCGGCACGTGCAAATGCGCATCCAAGCTGGTCGCGCGTGCGCCCCCAAAACACGACCACCGTGCAGGTAACTGTGGACGCAGGCTTGTCGACGACACTGACTGGTCACAATTCGCGCGACTGCGGCAGCGGCGAAACGTGCAGGCGTGAGACATGTGCCTTGCACGCGAACAGTATGGCTCGCTTCGCTCGAGAAGCAGCGCCTCATCCTTCCTGCATGTTCTTCTCCTCCTCCCTCGCCTCCTCTCGCATCATCATGCTGTTCATCTCGTCAATCATCATCTTCTAGATTGTCCTCCTACTGCTCAACATCCTGCGTGCCCTTCTCACTCATCCTCCCTTCCCGTCTTCCTCCTAATCGTGCTCCTGTCCTCCTCAGCCTTCTCTGGACGTGACGCCATGCCTATTGCATCTCGTGTCGAAGAGGCTGCGGCAGCAACGAACCGTGGCAGAAGACGCCCCGGGCGATGGCACCCAGGAACGCTGGGGAAAGACTTGTCTGTCCATCTCTCTGGCCATCACGGGCCATGCTGCGTTAAAGTGTTCACGCTTCGAGTGTCTGAGAGGCGCCAGACCTCCCCAGAGCCGTCCGAAGGCCAACGCTGAAGCTCAAAAACTGACTGAAAAGGGCGGTGCAAGGCAAAACGCGCCTGGAAGAGCATATCCTGTGCAGGATCGATCAGGCGGTCCTCCCCTGTACCCGCTCGGAACCATGATCCCCTCCTGCCGCTGCAGGGCCGTGCTGAAAAGCCACATTCCAAGTCACCGTTCATCGACCAATCCATCCCCGTGCCTCTGGGCAAAGGTGGGCGTGTCCACGGGTCCATTGCCTAATCCCCTAAACCGCAATCCCCACTCCTGACAAGTCTCTTAGTGGCCCGGAGCTCAAGTTGCTAAATATCTCGGAGTTTGTCGTTGTTCCCCTGGGTTTCCCAGCGTGTTCTCGCGAGACATTTTCGGAACCAAGAGGGCCCGAAGACGGACTGGGAGGGCCCCAAGAGGCCCCGAAGACGGTCCAAGCGGGCCCCGACTCGCCGAACGATCGGCCAAAATGTCCTAGATGCCCACGACGGCCCCAAGATGGTCCAAGAGGCCTCCAAGAGAATTCCCATGAGGCCAAAGCAATTGATGCCAATTCGGTGTTTGAAGGTTTTGAAGGATGTTCGCACTTTCGCCTTTTTTGTGCGCCCCAACGCTCCAAGGCGGCCCCCAAAAAGTCCCAAGGCGGCCCCCAAAAAGTCCCAAGACGGCCCAAGACGGCCTTAGAGGCCCCCGAGAAGCCCCAAGACGGCCCAAGAGGCGTCCAAGACAGTTTGAAACGGGTTGGGAGGCCCAACCAGCAGCTTCGCCTTAGGCGAAGCCCAACTCCCGCTCTGTTGTACCGTAGTAACGATAGTACCATTAGTAGGGGGCGACCCATCTCAAGCAGTTTTGGTATCGATGGCAAATGGCGCACTTCGCGCTGAGGTGTAGTCAGATCTGGGCGGCCGGCCGCATTGAGCCAAGCAGCCGCGGATGCGCGCTCGCCCCCACTCACATGCAACGCCCACCTCACTTTAGAGTCGGGAGGGGAGGGAGACGAAGCGTGAACCCGCCGCCTCTATACAGCAGGTACAGCAGCGACTATTTACAGAAAGGGCAGCACAAGGGCGGGGCCGTAAGGAAGGTGGGCCCGCACGCAAGCTGCCTCGCCTGCACTATAGTGTGCATGCGAGAACTCTTCAGGCGGCTACAGAACGAGATGTCTGGCCAGCCGATAGGGAGTACGACGCTTTAAGTCATGTTTGAAGGATTGTGTACCTCCCATGACCTGTAGGAGCATTTCTCTGTCGATGCTCCCCTTGGTGTGACCGTCCGCACTCATATCGCGGGTGTCGCACCACTGAATACTGTGCACGATTCCTCGCTCCATCTTCTGCCGTATCCAGCTGATATCTCCTAAAAAAGTACACTCGGCCGGCTTCTCCAAGTCTTTGCTTGACAAGAACTTAAGAACCGACTCAACATCTATGGTCGAAGTGACCTTGATGCTCAGGCCACCCATCTCAAGTGTGTCTTTCAGCTGAGTGGGAGTTAGCGGCCCTGCGTGGAGCTCGCGCAGGGTCGCGATCGCGGGATAACCTGGCTTGGTGTAAAGCGAAATTTTCGGACTCAACCGACTCAACCTGTTTTTGCATCATTTTCATCATCATCGTCATCATCGTCGCCATGATATTCATCATCGTCCGCGTCATCGCCATCATCATCACCATCTCCTCATCATCGTCATCATCATAATATCCATCATCATCATCTCCTCGTCATCGTCATCATCATGTAGTGATGATGATGACTAAATCAAGATACGAGATTGATTTGTATCACTAGTACCTGCCCCGAGCTTTTTCCCAAAATAAAACTGCCTTGAACGATTTGGTGTGATCTCGCGGCGGCGATCGAGTCACAAAGAGGTTGCGACGCCGCGCGACCACGGACAGCTAACGCGCCAAACAGCGAATAACGCAACAACGCGCCTACACCACGCGCCCCGCCGCGACGAACCATGGGCGCAGCCAAAGGGAAACGGTGCCAGTCCACCACCGAAGCAGCGACCAGCGCCGATACCCACGCACTCAGCGTTAGATCTGACGCGCAAGCTCGTTTCGCAGCGCCGCCGCCGCGCGCGCGACGCCGACGCCGACCGACGATCCCGCGAGCAAGCTGGAACGCGCGACGACCCGCGCGAAACCGCAGCGCGCCAAAGTCGGTCGGACAACGCGGCCCACGGTCAAACGGGGTCCCGCCGAACCCCGCTGAGAAACATAACAGGCGAACGAACGCTTAGGCGCGACGGCGCGGCCGCGACCACAAAGCGGCGGCGGCGCCCCCCTCCCAGCGCGGGCATGCCAACGGAAGGGCAGCGATACGCCCAACGGCCTACATGCGCCTACGGGCGCCCCAACGACGAAATGCACACGTCGGCAGACGCGCTAGACCGCAACGTGGAGCTCGCGGAAGCGGCGGCAGTGGCGGCACAGGAAAAGGCGATCGATGAGGAGGAACACGAATAGGACGACGACGGCAAGGAGGGCGGGAGGGCGGGCAATGGCGGTGTAGGGAGAAACAAAAGGTGAGGATGAGGGTGAATTAGGTAGACAGGGCACAAACGATGAGCAAACGGCGGGCGAGGAGAATGCGGTTGCACGAGGCGCGGAACTAGGAGCGGAAAGAGGAGGAGGCGAATGTGATTGGCGAGGGCGACGGGAGAGGGGAGGCACGCGAATCATCGAATGCAAGGGAGGGTAGTAACGGATTTGCCGCTAGCAGCGTTGTCGAGAAGCGGCCGTACGGTCGGGAACCTGTAGAGAGACCGAGTGGCGCGGCACGAACATGAGACCTGGCACTGGTGCATATGGAGGGCGCAAAGGGCCAGGGAGGGGGGAGAGGTGAGTGGTAGGCGCCGACCAAAGCATGACCAGTTGTTGGGCATACCCTAGAGCTCTTAGGGGTCCTCTCGGGGCTGTCTTGGGCATCTCCTGAAGATGTCCTGGGGGCTGAGGGCGCCCTGGGAGTTCTAGGCGACTTGCCCCCGCGCTTGGAGCTCTGGGGGTGTTCTCGTCGAGCCGTCTTGCGGGCCCTCTGGAACAGTGTTGAAGCACATGTGGGACGTTATTGGCCATCCCTTGGGGCCATCTTGGAGCCCCAATGAGGGCCTAGAGCTTGTCGCTAAGAGGAGGAGGAAGTGGCGGAGGAGGAGAAGGAGGAGGAGGGGGGAGGGAGGGAGGGGGGAGGAGGGAGGGGAAGGAGGGAGGAGGTGGAGGAGGAGAGGAGGATGAGGAGGAGGAGGAGGGGAGGAGAAGGAGGAGGAGGACGACGAGGTTGAGGAGGAGGAGGTGGAGGAGGAGGAGGAGGGTCCGCGCTGTCGGCCACTCTGCGCTGGCCCATTTGAGTTTTTGTTCAGCAGCGCTGCACCGTGCTCGTGACGGGGCTCGCACATGTGGCTCGTCGTCGCCGATCCGTTTCGCTGAAGTTGCCGCGACGTTCAGTTCTCTGGGGCGCTGGTTCCTTTCGGCCCGCGCTGGTTTTCGAATCGGCGCGCGGGCGTGCCCTTGTTCCGCGTTGGCCCTCCCCCTCCTGCCTCCTCCCCCCCCATCCTCCTCCTTTCTCCTGTTCCCCCTCCTCCTCCTCCATCTCCTCCTCCTCCTCGTCCTCCTCCTCCTCGTCCCCCTCTTCCTCCATCTCCTCCTCCTCCTCCCCCTCCACCTCCTCCCCCTCGTCGTCCTCCTCCTCCTTCTCCTCCCTAAGCATGGCGGGCGGTGGCAGCGGAAGATGTAAAGGCAGATAGCGAAACAGGCGAGATGGGGGATGAGCGGCCGACGGGGACAAAGCTGTGGACGGGGATGATATCAAAACAAGTGTGGATACGCGGGGCGATGGGGCGCGGGGGCGTGAGAGTGAGAGAGGGGGGGGGGGGGGGGGGGGGGGGGGGGGGGGGGGGGGGGGGGGGGGGGGGGAGGGCAGGATGGAATTGAAATATACGCAGGGTAGCTTGGAGCGCGAGAGTAGCGGAATAGCTCGGGGTGGGCGAGCGACGGAAGGCAAGGGGGCTAGGTGCGTCCTGGGAGCCATATTGAGGCGTCTAGGGGGCCGCCTCAGGCCCTCTAGTGCGATATGAGGCCCCTCGGGCCCTTCGTGAAAATCCTGAGGGGGGGGGGGGGGGGGGGGGGGGCACACTCGATCTCCCGACGATTCCGAGATCGTCCTCAGGAGGAGTCCCACGGGTGGCCATCAAGACGGCCCCCAAGACGCATAAAGGAGCAACCCACAGGCGGTCACCATGAGGGGGCGGCACGAAGCTTCCATGAGGCCGCCGCAGACCCCCACGGGGTCAAACTGCGCCCCCTTGGGGCCCTCTCGGAAACCGTGGGGTTAACCAAGGGATGCTTCAAGGCCGTTCCAAAAGCGTGTTCGGGGGGGGGCCCAAAAGGCGGTAAACGTGCCATCCCCTGATGGTGACCACCGCCACCTCATGCTTCCTTCCCACATCTACTCATCCCGTGCATGCTTCTTTCCATCTCCATCCCCGCATCCTCCACCTCCGTTCTCCTCCTCCCCCCTCCTCTTCCTCCTCCTCCTCCCCCCATCCCTCCTGCCGTCGACGCAGTCTCCGCGAGTACCGACGTCGCCGATGCGTCCCTCTGCTCGTCGTCGTCGTTGTCCTGGGTCGGCCTGGGGCGACGATGGTAACGATAACAATCGGACGTCGATCGATCACGGACTCATCCGCACAACTCCGAGGACCATCGAAGCCAGCAGTGTCGACGCATGCGTCCGTGGCAACCCACGCGCCGCAGACAACAAACGATCTCGGGCCACTGCATCCGACGTGGCGGCGGCGCTGGAGCAGTCCTCTCTGCACCGCGCTCATCAGTATCCTTCCCTTTCCCCCTCTCCCCCCTCTCCCAGCAGTGCCCCACTCGACTCCTCCCCCTCCTTCAACTTCACCCCTCCTCGATCCCGCCATGGCGAGCAATGCGAGCCTTGGCACACCTGGCGCGACGCGTCTTTCACGCGCGTGCATACTCGGACGGAGCTACGCACAGATGCAGCAGGAGGCCTCCGTCGGCCCATACACATCTAACACTGGAAGCCAGCACGCGACAGAAAAACGGGAAACCCAACACCCCAAACTATACAGAGAGGCTCGGGT